TAATTGGCTAGTTGTGTATGATGTACATCACAGTGAGTAGTAAGCTACTCAGTATTTGGCTTGTTGCCTGTAATCTATGCTACTTGGGGTTTGTAAGGTACCCAGTAATTGGCTAGTTGTCTATGAGGTACATCACAGTGAGTTGTAAGCTACTTGGTATTTGACTAGTTGCCTGTAATCTATGTTACTTGGGGTTTGTAAGGTACCCAGTAATTGGCTAGTTGTCTATGATGTACATCACGAGGAATAGTAAGCTACTTGGTATTTGGCGAGTTGCCTATGATCTATGTTACTTGGGGTTTGTAAGGTACCTAGTAATTGGCTAGTTGTCTATGATGTACATCACGGTGAGTAGCGATTGTTCAACCTATAATTTAATTTTGTTATTTTAGTCGCCTATGCGGTTTTAACTGTATTTGTTTTTCAGTAAAATCAGAACATTATTATGATATTTAGTTACAATTCTCTTGTTATTTTAAATTAATTTCCCTTGACATAACGTGAAAAGCTTCTTTTTTTTTCGCTTCAAAACATATTGAGTTATGAAAATACCTTGTTTATTTAAACTGGTGAGCTTTATTTTTGTATCTGTTTTTAAGAAGAAAAATATGTATTTCGTATTATTTTAATTTACATTAGGAATGGAAGAAGTGAACAAGTATGTCAGTATATTTATTGCATTTCTAGAAATATGAAATGACATGTTGAAAATACAGACAAGTTAGCAGTACAGTAAGCATGCATCATCAACTGAATTTGTACAATTCTAGAAATAATGACAATAATATGTATCGTGCACAACTTCGTGGTGTAATTGCAAGTGGTTTAAACTTTAAAGCACATAAAATATAGCATAATGTACAATGAAATTGCTTTTTTTAAACCTTCATTATATGTTTATCATTACTAACTGCTGAAAACGATTCTTGTCACTTTTGTCCGATCATCAACGTGAATAAGAATAAACACTAAAAGCATAATTTTCCAAATAATAATTCTTTTTCAGCGTGTAAGAGAGGCTCAGGTGAACGATTTCTTCTCTGACTGACGTTTATTTGTGTTTCGTAGATTATCCGCAAGGAGACAAATCTCGTCATTGTTCAAAGACAAGGTCACGTGATGTTTCAGTTCACGTTTATCTCCAACTATCACTTGTCATTGTTTATTGAACATATTTTAAGTGACAATTACTGTTTGTTTACCTTTTTCTTTATTTTGAAAACAAAGGAAAGAAAATTGCAAAATTTAAGCCACCTGAATAAAATATTAAAAGGAAAGCAATTTGATTCGTGTCAAATTATTAAGACCTTGACTAATGGGCGTGATTTCGATTGTAGGCCATCAGGGATCACCATAAAAATCGAAATTATTAAATTAATCAAAATTCATTTGATGATATTAGAAATATTACAATTGTGGAAGATAAATTGTTATAGTTATATGTGTACATTAAGTACAAGATTTGTTTAATTAAAAACATGCAAACGGCCCTAGCAGCTAATAATGATTATATCTTACTTTGTTATGAATTTTAACATGTAGAAAAGAACGATTTAATAGAAGGTGATGGATTTGGAAACTGAAGTTAAAAAAAATGCGGTTTCAGAATCATATTTATATCTTTATCAGTTACATTTTTTAAACTTAATTCAATATTGTTACAAGGCTTATAAAAATGCAACATTATTAATATTGACCAAATAGAACTCACTTTTGGTTTCATTATTATCCTAAATAATCTAGAAAAACTAATAATATTTCCATATAGATAAAAATGACACTGTAAGGCTGCGAGCGACGCATTAAAAATTGGATTTCTTGTTAATTTTTGTTTCAGAGCAAAGCTACACAAGAACCATCTGCGCTGTGTCCACCGCGGATATCGAACACCGATGTTTAGCATTATAAGCCCACAATCATATTACCGAGTCACCGGGGAGTGGGGAGCATTACTTGGATTAGATTCTTTGCGAGCTGAACAAATGAAATTCTTTCAATTTGAATCTAAATTTCATGCATGAAATTCAATACAGATGAAAAATAGTTTGGTCACTTATACTTGGGAATTTAAATATTGTATTTTTTTTTATTACCTCGTAAAGTTTTGAAAACCACAAATGTTGCCCTTAATAAATCGTAATTGGCAATCAATAATCAAATAACTTATTTTAATGAAGCAGTAATATTATAGGTAAAGAACCTAAGAAAATCCTTAATAAAAACTGTTAGTAACGACATCAGTTTTTTACATTATTCTATCATTTGTTTCAGAAAAAGTCACTTATTTTATTAGAAGTTACAGCTTTTACAGAGAACAAGAATAGTTTTAAAACAGGCTCGATCACTGGTGCGATCATTCTCAAGTACAGAAGTTTTAACGGTAAAGAAGGTTTTAGTTAAAACTTGTGTTCTTGAGAATGATCATACTAGTGATGGGAAAGTCGTACCTTGTTTTATAATTATTCTTCCTTACTGTAAAGGTTGTAACTTGTAATAAAATAATATTTATAATTAGTAAATAAGCTCAAAACGAAACTATTAAACAATCACTTGTTTGAAGTTCATGCAGTTGTACACTGAAGAGAAAAAGAACACTTGTGGCTGCGATTTACATAAATCAATTCTATCCTGTGGATTAGCGAGGTACTCTGATATTGTGTTTGAAAGTTAGAACCTCAAGGGAGTCTTCTATGCAATCATACAATCTAAAGAAAACACGTTTTTTGCCGCATGTTGATTGAATAAGGGAACGACGAGGTTAATGACCTATTAGTAGCTCCTCTTTAAACCATTTTTCCGGTTTGGATCAAGTGGAAAGATCATTGTTTTGTTTAAACATCATAGACATTCTTGCTTTCATTAAAACAAAAATAAACACACCTGTGTTTCTAAGTTTAACATTATTGTAGTCAGATGTTTTGAAATTTAAAAATCTGCGACAACTACTTTTAATTTTGTAATTGCTGTTTTATTAGGGCATGAGACAACTACTTTTAATTTTGTCAATGTAATTGCTGTTTTATTAGGGCATTTTGTTTAATATTTAGAAGCGTATGTCATTATCTTTATAAGATCTTATTTTGTTAAACGATTCCATGTTATTAAATGATCTATTTCTCTGGTTTTTATCATTACTTCTGACGTTTAAGTACTGTTTTTCACCATTTCAATGTACCATCCCTTCGAACACTTTATCTCCGGATCAAATCGCGAGGTATGGAATGAATTGTGTTTTCTGCAAGAATATCTTACAATCATTTAATTTAGCTACTCATAAATGTCATTCTCTAAAGCAGAATTTGCAGATTTTTGTCCAATAAGAATAGTGACAAAAGAAGAAGAAAGACTCATACGCATGTTCATTCCAATACTTTACTTTTATGGCGATGTGTATATTAATTCAAACAAGAGTTTTCAAAACAATTAATTTTGAACTAAAGTTAATAGTTATTAGATCATGATACATGATAAATGAATGTTTAAAACTAGAGCTTGCCTTACTAAGGGGATTTCTCCTTCTGGAGTTTAGTTATGCCTACTAAAGTAGCTCCTCTTTAAACCATTTTTCCGGTTTGGATCAAGTGGAAAGATCATTGTTTTGTTTAAACATCATAGACATTCTTGCTTTCATTAAAACAAAAATTCA